ATAATTTTTAAAAACATGTATGGTGGCTGAACTTGGGTTGCGCGTTGAACCACCATAAGATTGTAAATAAATTCATTTTAAAATATATTGGACTAATATTGAGCTTTCATTTCTAATGTGGGTCGAGCATGAGGTTCATCTATAGGCTAGGTTCCTGATGCTAAATCGTCACATTAAAATATGAGCCTAATTTAATTTTATTTTTCGGGCTTCTACATGAACTCTATCTTTTGTCTTTCTTCAATTATCATGAATAGCTAAATTTATTATTAGGGCGAACAATGTAACCTTTTGAGATATTTTATTTCTTTTATTCAAGATTCAAGTTCCTTTATACATATGTGTTGATTTTAATTATGTTCTTAATGCTTTAAATTCTCTGATCAATTATTCAATGATTTCATGAACAATAATTACGTAGATATGCAGATTCTTTGTTTAGACCACATATTAAAATTCAGTAAATTAATATAACGTGTAGAGATACCTATATTAGTTACTGTGGTCATAAATGAATTCTTAGAACTATTATTTCGTTTAACTAAGTTTGATTCGCATAGAGATATATGAAATTGAAGTGGTTAAATAGGCTCAATAAGAACTCGAAAGGGATAAATTGAATACAATAGAGAATTCGACTAAACAATACCTTAGATTTCATGAATCTTGATTTAAGACTTAATATTCATTTGTTATTTGAATTTTCAATTATTCTTTATGTGCACCCACATATTGTTAGGTAGTTATATTCAAAATCATAACCAATCATTATTCTTTTCTTTTCTTTTCTTTTTTATCAAATATACGCTAGAAATAATAAATTATGTATTAAAGTACAGTCTTCGCAGGCAATTTGGACTCAAAAGATCCACTTTACTACTTGTTACAATCCTTACACTTGCGGGATATAAAAACGATAATAACTTTTTAGCGCCGTTGTTGGGGACTACTTTTATTTAGAGCCTGTTTGAGCCACATTATTCCAAAAAAATACATTTTTAAATAGTGATTTGACATCATTTCAACCACACATTTTTCAATAAAATAATATTACACGCTGATAAAAAACTTTTCCTTATCTTTTAACCACACATTTTCCATCAATATACTATTCAAGAATGCATTATTACCAAAATAATATGGCTCAAACACTCCCTTAATATTGGATTTAATTATTTCTTGCTTTTGTTTGATTTTTTTTCAATGGATCTATTTGTTTTTCTTTGTTTCATCGACAGGGAATAAAAAGAAGCAAGAGGCCAAAAAAAAATATTCACAATGATTGAGTCCAACTTAAATGAAGGTGACATACTCTTTGGAGAATTCCTAATTAGACAAGAACTTAAAAGATGGGGATATGATCAGCGTATCGAATTTGATAAGGATGGTTGGCCGAAGGGATTAAACATCAAATCAATTGTTTATCAAGAGATCTGACCGACATGTAAATACTGTGGTTCATTTCATTATACTAAAAATTTCTCGTGTTTGGCAACTCCAGTGGAAGTAAGAGAACATATCTTCGATTATCCATATGAAGAATATTTTGATTACAATGAATAATTACGGGAGACATCATCATGCAAAAATGTAAAAAGATTGGAGATAAAATAATTCGAGAAGAGCCAAATAACATGCCGACGAAGGATTCCATTCAACCCGAGGAACTAACGACTAAAGATGCAGAACATGTAGAAATGGAGGAATTAATCGAGAAGGAGCTAGACAAATCAATTGCAATGAAGATGGGATTAGCGTGCAAACATCGAACTTCATTGAATTTGTGATTAAAGACGATGAGAAGATCGAAGTATGTTTGATTGAGTTCGAAGCGAGCAATTTAGGCAGGTCATACCATATTCAAAATGAAAATGTACGATTTTGGACGATGTTTGAGATATGGAACAAAGTCAAATTAAGCAAGCTAAACAGGAGCTCTAGAGCCATATTCAAAGTGCTATGAAGCACTTGTGCAAAAATCTAACTAAAGACTTTAAATTAAGCGCTTCTTAGGAGGCAACCCAACCCAACCTTTCCTTTATTTATTTATTTTATTTTCAAATTATAGAATAGTTTAGTTTATTTATTAGTCTATTTACGAGTCATCACCCATATCCCTTTTATCCTTAGGTCATTAAGTAACTAAGTTGATTATTAGATGTTTGAGCTAAATAAACATTATTCTATGTATCTAATATTTTAAATTTGACTTTTCAGGGACATAACGTCGTGGAACACTTGAACCAACATTGACAAGGAGAACACGGGATAAATCTCAAGTTTGGGGAGAACGTAGAAGAAGATTCGATCAAATTCAACACCAAGGCACCATAACATCATAGGCAATATTGACATTTCAGGGAAGTCTTCCGCCTTTTCCATTAAGTTTAATATTGAGGACAATGTTTAGTTTAAGTTTGGGGGAGTGTATTATTATTAATTGTGTAATTGCCTGCCTAAAATTTTTGTGTGAGTTGAAAAGTTTGGCTTACAATTATGTTTTACTTTGATATTTGGTGGTGATTTATGGACTGTGGATAAGATGCATGTTAGATTGATTGAAACTTAACTTTACAAAACTTGATATTATACGTGCACTAAACTTAAGTTTGACACTGTGATGAAACGAGTTGATTCATTTGTTAGATAAGTTGATTTAATTGGACATAGTCACATAGATGCTTTACCTAAACCATAATAAATTATTTATCCTTAGACCAAATTTAGCACAATTTGGAGACGACTTTACAGTTTTAGGAAGATGCGGATGTGAATTTGGATTCCATGTGTGAAAACTTGTTGACAATGTCAATTTTGTCATAGACAAACATGATAAAACTAGGCGAAAGTCTTAAGTTGGGGATCAATTTGTTTGAATAAGTATGTGATAAGGGACATTGCACTAATCAAGGCATATACATTTGAAATTTAAAAGCTTCTCTTTGAAGTCTTCATGAATAAAGTAATTAAGCCTGAAAGGGTATCTTAAAACCTAGTGCTCTAAAGCCATCTAACTTGGGAGTCATTAGCTTAAAACTCGCTACAGGGGTCATTTAGAACGCAATCAAAGATGAAACTGCATTCGAAGCAAAAACTGTTCTTTTCGAAGCTCTTTTAACTTGGGTCAGTAAACCTGTAAGGGTGTTTAAAACTTAGTGCCCTAAAGTCGTCTGACTCATGAGTCATTGGCCTAAAGCCTACTACAGGGGTCATAAAAAAAGCTTAATGTAGAGAATGCAAAAAAATAAATAAATAAATAAATAAAAATGAGTGACCTTGTAAAAAAGCAGGTACATGAAAAGAGCAAAACCACAAAATACTTTGGTTAAGCCCCAACGCTTATTTGAGGGAATTTGACTTTCCATGAAGGATAATTAGCTAGTTGAATTGTGACGGTCAAAGCAATCAAATAATAAGAGAATCCTTATTCATTGAAGTGTTGACTTGCAACTACTAACGTCCAACTGAACTCGAGAGGGTGAGAATAGTAATGAAGTATTCTAACCTTAGGTTACATACTGGGAGTGAATGAAAAAGAATAAAGTTGGGAGTGTGAGAATCACACAAGAAATGTAAGGGTATATTTGACCACAGAGGGTCGGGTGTTGAAATAACTTGTGCAGTCATGATGGATTACTTAATTCTTCACACACACATCGATTTTACACTGAAAGAGTAGATATTGGTTTGATAGTATGACTTGAAGCATGTTTGTGAAATAAACATCAAAATCTCGAATCCTGAGGTAAAAAGCTTGTCCAACCAATTATCTTTTGCATGCTTGTGTGTTCGTAGTTATTTAGCTGATAGTTTTGTTTGAGGACAAACAAGTGTTTAAGTTTGGGAGTATTACCTACATGCAAAATGTTCAAAATGAATTAAAAGACTCTCTAAGGGTTTCAAAAATCCAAATGTAATGGGGGTTTAAGAAGATCCACAAAAAAGAGAAGACCAACAATTAGCGATTATGTGTTATATCTCCAAGAGTGATCTTTACATTGGCTATAAAGATAATATATGTTCAATTTATGAAGTCATGGGAGGTGAAAATTCCACATTTTAATATGATGCCACGAAAGAAAAGATGTGGTTAATAATCAAGATAGGAATCATGTTACTTTACCAAAAGGGATTGCCAAATGGAAAAATCCAAGTGTACAGACAAACCATTGCCAGAGGCTTCACAGAAATCTATTTTATTCCAAAAAATAAACCACCCACCCCACCAATGTGTGTTATCTGTAGGAGGTCAGTAAAATTTTTTTTTGTACATCTAGACTGGTCCCATTGCAAATATAGGTTGCAAATGGGTCTAAAAAACCTAAAAAGAGATGCCTTTTGTGACTTAGAAGGATATAAGTGTCAGTACCGTAAGGTTACAAACAAAAGGAAATTATTGTTTGAGTGCCTCTAGTTTCGAGGAAGGTTCTTTTAGTATAATTGTAGCTCATGCCGATTAAAAGCATCATCAACGCACATCATAACAACGTTTGCCACTGGTGATTTGGAACATCTTCAAGGTTTCTTTATAGAAAAAGATGACCACTCATTTGCAAGTTTAGGAAATGTATATATGATCTAAAACAGGCCTCCCTCCCATCAATAATATATGAAATTTCACAACACTATTACCAAATTTTTGAGAACATTGTTGATGAATTCGTATACCTTCAGTTAATTAGTTATAAGGGAATGCCATTCTCAATTCATCAAGTGCTTCGCATATATATAAATGACAACATCCATTTAATTCTTCAAAGAGCAAATTACACTTCAAAAAACGAAATAACAAATCAAACAACAGCTAACCTGGTCACGAACAGGGACTTGAACAACACGTTCGGAGGGGAAGATGGGGGGCCTGGGAGGGCGTCGGATTGTGGAGAATCGGCGCTTGCAAAGAGGGCATTTGGACTCAACCTTGGCCCACTCAATGATGCAGACGAAGCAGAAGTAATGGGAGCAGCTATCAATGCATCCTCTGCTGACACTGGTATTGCAATCACCACCAGATTCCGATAAGCAAATCCCGCAGCAATCAGTGGATTCAATTTCATCTTCTTCAATTTTGGATTTTCCTTTGGAAGTCAAAGAGGGTGGGGATTGATGAGGTGCGCAATCATCTAGAGTTGGAGTTAGGGTTTTGAGACGTTTATTTGGGGAATTCTTGGGAGATTGTTCCGACTCCGGTTCCATCGCCATGGCAATAGAGAATTGAAACTGGTGTTACCTTATTAACTTTTTTGTTTGTTTGTCGAGTAATTAAATATACCTTTCATTTACGTCCTTAAACTTTAAAAATCGTTTCAATTATACCACGAAGTTACTCGATCATCCATTTCTTAATAGAAAATCATACTTCTCCTTAAAATTTAGTTAATTTAGTAATGTAACTCTTATCAACTTTTAAAATTCGTTTCAATTATATCACGAAGTTACTCGATCATCAATTTCCTAACGGAAAATCATATTTGACATTAAGTCCTTGTTTCAGCTTCATTAAAATCAAAATTAGGGAAAAATATATTTTGGAATAGTGATTTTTTTTTTTCAAAAAAATATGTAGTTAAAAAGAATGAGAAATTTTGGATTTATGTATACCGTTATTTTATTGGAGAATGTGAAATTAAAAAGAAAATAAAGAAAAATGTATTTTGAATAAAATGGAGCCTAAATAGGGGCTAACATTTAGCCCCTGTTTGACAACTATTATTTTCAAACTTTTTTTTCTTATATACTAATTTTTAATTACATATTCACAAAATAAAATATTCCGCATGTAAACCTAAATTTTTTTCATACTTTTTAACCATATATTTTCCTAAAAATTACTCTTCAAAACTCTATTTTCTCCAAACAATGAATGTCAAACATGGACTTACATTGTTTAGTGATGCAACTCTAATCAAGTTTTAAAATCCGTATCAATTATATTATCATATCATGAAGTTACCCGATCATCTATTTTATAACAAAGGTCATTCGTAACGTTTTTGCTGGGGAAGAATTAATAAATTAAAATGAGTGATGGATAATTGAATAATGTTTGTGAGTCCAATTGAAGTGTGTAGTTGAAAATAAAGTTTAATTAATTTATAAATGATTTACACATTTTCTAGTAGTAGTTTAGTGATGCAACTCGCACGTTGATACTTGCATTCATGTGGATTAATTGCTAAAATATGAAATAATAATAATAATAATAATAATAATAATAATAATAATAATAATAATAATAATAATAATAATAATAATTATCATTTCTAAAACTCACATCATCAATATGCGTTTATCATCATGAATTTGAACGCTTTGTTGACCACAATGGTCACAGTGCAATATCATTTTTTAAGTTGAATATGATTGATAACATTAATATTTTTTTTTTCTTTAGTTTGAGTGGTTTTATGAGAAGTATCATCTTCTGAAGAGGACTCGTGATCGGGAATGTATTCTTCCTCTATAGTTTAAGTTTTCAAGAAAACAACTTCCATTCGAACATCTTTTATTTGACGTTTCAAGGATAACAATTTGAGATTTCATATCTTAATTTGGAAATGGTGTTACCGATATTTTGGATGCAGAGGGTAGAAGATGATGGAACATTTTCTATAATTTACGATATTCGATTTCCTCAATTATTTCTTGAATAAATTCTTCTTCTCTAGTAAAAACAATTATGATTTTACAATCACAAACTTCTTTACTTTGGCCTGAAGTAGAAAAGGGGGAATTTGAACTTGTTTTGCCATTAGAATCTTCGGGATATTGATAAGCTTGTTCAAGTTCAAAGTCAATTCATTATCGAAGCTGGAATTAGGAAAATTAAGAAGTTCAAGTTTAATATATTCATCTATTTAAAGATTATTAATCTTTCCACTCATAGGATATTTAGTGGAATAATGACACACGCACACGCACACACAGAGAGTACTACTAACTAGAAAAGTTGAAGATTTCAATGCTAAAAACAAAGTTGAAAATCCTCGTGACAACTGCGAAATTACATGTAATAAGAACAATGAGTTAACTTCATTGCGGTCATTGAACTTAAATTTCAATTAGGTCACTTACTTTAATTTATTGAACTCACGATAATGCACTTCAATTTACTTTCAATGTTAGTCACTCAACTAATCCTTTTACTAGACGTAACTTCTCAATCCTCTCTTAACCTCTATTTCTAGGTAAATATGCCACATAATCACACTGTGGCTACAAAATCTTGAAACCACAGATCAATAGATATTTGAATGAATACGTTGGTTAAATTAATGTCGATTTTTAAACCTAATTTATTTAAATTTTGAAGCCATGAGGGGGTGTCACGATAAGTTTAGTAACATGCATCACTGAGTGAGTAACATTGAATTTCAGTGATATGATTGAAATAAAATAAAGTTAGGTTTATATAATTAAGATTTTATTAAAAGTTCAATGATCAAAATGAAATTAACCCCATGAGCACAAAATTTTATAGTTTTGACACATGAAATTTGTTTGACAAATTACTTACAAAATATTGCTACATCTCTGAAGGTTCATTCCTAACCTAACTAGTCAGTTAAAAACATCGAGCTACATACCGTAAAAATAAATATGAGGGAGATCCTACTGGAAAAATTGACTGTACTTCAAAATCGACAATGTGTACAGTATACCAAGATTCTTGAGACAACTATGTCAAATGTAGAAATTTCTTTCACTTTAAAAAAAATGAATATTCTCTCATAAATACAATTACAAATAAAACAATATCGATGTTATATCCAGTTGACGTGAATCTTCTAGTAGTTTTTGAGTTCTCGAGCAAGAGCAGGGCGAAATTGTTCCGTCTCTCTAAGGCAAATTCTTCATAAATTTCTCAATTGTTCTTGGGCGGATGAGGTTTTGGGGTACGATAAGCAGCACATAACACCATGAAATTATCCATTTTTACCTTCAAATCTTTCATATTCTTCAAAAATTTCACATATTTTCCCTCTATTCTCTTCAATTTTCCTTCCCATCTACCATTTTTCTTCCTCCAATTTTTGAATTACGGTTAAATAGACAAGTGACTGTGTGCAAGTCTTGTGACCATTATTGTTATCTCTCGAAACTATTTGAATCGACAATAGTACCCATCTAAAGTGATCATGTCAAGGTCGTGTGACTATTTAACATAATTTTAGTCTTTTTGAAAGAATTTAGTTGCACAAAAATTTTGGAGACCTGCATGCCAAAAAGAAAGTGGATTGAACCCACGTGCAACAAGTGGCATAGTTTGGAGACCATAATTGCAAATTTCCTTATTGTAAATGGTCAAGCACGAAAATGAGATACAAAAATTGTGTGTGTTGGACTTGGATACAGTATTAAATTTGGTACTTTTTGTTCTCTCTCAACAGCACAAATTGTAGATTGTTAGGTTTTTTGGAAGATGAGAGATGGAGTGTGAAAAATGTAATGGTTGGACTTCAACTTTATACCAAACTCAATTAAACATTAAGAATGGATTAGAGACTTGAAAGTAAATCAGTACCCAATATATTGACTGCAATAATGAAGATCAATTATAGCAAAACTAACAGTATAGAGGAAGAACAGAGAGAGAGTGAAGGACAGATTCAGAGAAGAAGTGAAGAATTCAGATTCAGATTTAGAGAGAGAGAGAAGAAGATAAAAGAGGGGGAATTCTGTTTTGCACCAAGGCTAACAATCTTCAACTCCCCTTTTCCTCCCTCTATGTGCTGAGTTTATGGAGAAGGCTACAAAAGATTCTAGAATGCATTGGTTTTGGGTGGGAGCCATGACATCCCTTCCCCTTGACCTTGTTCTTAAGGTTCAAAATTTTGGATATCTTCTTTGTATGAAATTAGCATCATCTCAAGCTACCACATTCTCTTCACTACCATTGGATTAAACAGGTAGTGCAAGGTGGCATATGCCTCATTCATCTCATCTTCTTATCTTCTTTTTGCCAATTTGTTCATAATGTTCCTGTCTCCTTTATGTCAATCCAAAACACCACAGAAAGCCTGTTTAGAATCCCATTGAAGATCCACAGCAGCAGAATAACAGTCTTCCGTAATTCCATTTTCTTTTCCTGAATATTTAGGGATTTACATGTCCTCTCTCTCTGCCTCCTCTTTATCCATTTCAGTTTCCTCCACACTTGTACTTAACTCCTCGCCTTCTACATCTACTGTTATGACTATAGATTTCTCAGTTGTATTCCCAGCAAACTTTTCGCATATTTCAGTACTATTCGAGCCATAAGAAAGGATTTCTCTTTGGAAACATTAGAAGAGTGAAAGGGATATAAGCCTTCTTCGTGGTTTTGTAGTCGATTTCGCTAGTATAACACTGGACCAAATGTGAGTTTTGGGTAGCGGCGGTGGTTTGAATTTGGTGGGCAACCCGGGAAGGTGAGGTCAGGGTATTGGTGGTGGCAGTGGCGCCAACTTTAAGATGGCAATTGTCCGATTTGGAGGGGACAAGGTAGGGGTGTTAAATGGGCAAGGTCGATTTGCGCCCGTATAGAGGATGAATCGAGCCAACTTACTTAATAGAAATGTGGTTCAACTCGTTTCACGAAATTCGTTCCTTTATAGGACAAATCGTTGGTTAATTATTGGGGGATTCATTTAAAAGGTTTGGTCAAACTAAACATTTGTTCAAAAAGACCAAGAACTAAGACTTTTAGTTGAAAGGCCTAAAGTTATTAAATATGGAAAATAGAATTTGTAAAAGACTAAAATATCCTTGTATGTGAAATGATGATATTGCCCTTATTTTCATTTCAATTTCCTTTCAACCCTAATCTCCTTCCCTCCCTCCTCTAAGAACGACTCAACCACCGTAGATGCCTCCATGCTGATTTTCTTATCATCATCTTCTTCTCTACTTAATGAAATCACAAAATCTACATTCTCATTCTCTTGAATATTCATTTGGTTGAAGTGAATAATAAAGTCTTGCTATATTTTTATTGGGCATTTGGAGAAGAAGAGAGGGTATGGTAAATTTTCGATATTTGAGCCACTTTCTTTCTCCATTGTTTTGAATCATCCGTTCATGTTGTTGTATAGGTGTTTGTGGTGTTCATTTTTCAATAATGATTTTGAATTTATTTTATGATTTGATTGGATCTTTAAATGGTTTACTTCCCAATCTTATTCTCATTACCCCTTATTTGTATTCCTTAGTATTAATTGAAG